TTACCAATCATCTTTGGTCCTTCTGACTTTGAATTACTATGCGGACAATACAATGAGCCAGTCAGTGCCCTCTCCAGTTTAATTAATAGTAATCTGCATAACATAAATCAGTCAACATCCTGCCCAGGCTATTCCTATTCCTTAAGCCTGAAAAATTATTTTACCTCAACTCTATACAGAAAGAAAATGAAATAATTTCTAACAAACATGCATACAATCAATATGTTCATAAATAGTGTTATGTCTAGTCAAACACTATATTATCTGAATGGTTGCAATAGAATGAGAGTACTTGATTACTACACCATAATTCATAATCTAGTAAAAAGTCTATTGAGAACTGTGAAGGTGACATGTTATCCTATTAGTTTTCAACCAAACATCTTTTTGAATGGCTCTAATCATGTATAAGTTGCAGCAATAGTTAAGATGATGGAAAGGAGCAATAAATTTTGTCCTTCTCCATTTCTTTAGCTACTACTGAAAGCGGTTAAAATACATATTTTTAGATTGCAGCAACTGGTATACACTGTGAAGGCACTTCCATATACCTATCGTTTTCACTCTAGTGGAATAATCCAATTAATTCACTCCTCAGTCCATGCAAAAGGAAAAAAAGAAAGAAAATAAAGAACTAAACTGAGGTAGAATTTTATATATATGTTCTTCCTCTGTGAAAATAAAAAATACAGAATTGTTCTCAAGTTCACAATTCATTAATTCAATCCAACATTTCCTTTAAAGAAATTTCCAGTGGCTAATAAAAAAAAAAAAAGGCTAAGCAAAATCTGATCTGGTTAGCACTTGATGCAACAGCAAAGAAATTACCTGGGAATGAAGGCTAAACTGGGGACTTTATAAAACACAGAAGAAGGCAATTGGTGTATTGTTGCCAATGAAACTACAAGGCCATGGACATGAAGCAATCAGAAACTGAAGGACACTTTACAGTGAAGCAAGAGTTTCCTTCAATGGGGCAAGAGAATACCCACAAACTCTGCAGTATTTTGCTCTTGCCAAAACAAAGACAGCTTTGTTTTGTAAGTAAAGTTTTGAAAGTAAAGTTTATGAATGTACATAATTTGAAAATTGCACCTCTTCTCAATAGTTCAGAGACTCCTAAATCCTTTAAAACGTAACAATTTACCTTCATATATAAATACTCATTCAATAGCTGTCTTAAAACATGACAAGCTAGGATATGAAGATTTCTATTATTTCCCAGCCTTCTTCATTCAACTGTGGATGGAGTTAATCATCATACTAAACCGTGGACAGCTTTAACTATTACATACCAAACTACATGTAATGAATTTGACTGAATTTATACATTACTTTACTACCCACCGTTACATCATCCCAGGTGAAGCTGGCCCACCCTACTAGTCTTCCAGAAACCCCTCAAGATGTATTTTTTTAAATGCCAAACAGGGAGCCTGCAATGGATTTATTGAATATGGGATTTTTTTATTAAGACCCTTTTTTTAATTACATGTATATGTTATGTTCTTAATGGTTAAGATGAGTCTTTTGGTGTTTTGTTTTTATTGTATGTTGACCAGAGTAACATTCATGATATGGGTGTATATATACATTTAATAAATAATATTTTTGAATTATAGGTTGGGTTACATTGATTATATAAAAGGAATGTTCACTTTTTATATATTTGGAAGGAATTTAGTCATTCTGTTTTTAAATTAAGATTATGTTTTAGTTCATATAGTCTAGCTTGTAAAGATTTCTTGCCTTATATACGGCATCTACTATTGTATTACCATGTTTTGATAATAGCTAAAGGAACAGCAGAAAAAAAAGATTTCAAGAGCATATGACTATGTATGACTATGGGACTATTTGTTGTCCATCTCTATATAGTGTAATAAATTAAAGTTTGCAAACCATAATGATTGTCTATACACATTTTCTCTTCTGTTCAATCATGTCCTATTCTGGAGACTGCTTGGAGATTGCATGCAGTTTTTTTGGCAAAGTATTTTAGAAGTGGTTTGCCATTGCCTTCTTCCTAAGGCTAAGAGAGATCAAGGTCACCTAACTGTGTTTATGCCAAGGCAGAACTAGAACCCCTGGTTCTCCAGTGGCTTAACCATTATATCAAACTGGCTTTCCTTTACACAGTAAATAAACACAAAGCATGGCTTAATTACAGCAATGTTTGTTTTCCATTTTAATTTTGTCTGCTTTTGTCTCAGCTATGTTGTTCTATTTTCTTCCCTTTTCCAATAATATATCATACCTCTCATAAGCAGCAAAATGCTGTCTCATTCATATTACTAGCTGATCCAAAACACAGCATTTCTCCCAGACATGTAAGAGGAGGAGGAAAATTTTCTTCAGGTTTTATTCCACATCAACCTAGCTGTTTCTGAACAGAGGGATCTTAACTCTACCAAAAATCACTCTGCAGTATTCTTGTTGCCCTCCTCTTCCTGTTTTTATTTCATTTTGCCCTATGTGTACACATTAATAATATGGAGAAAGACAATAATTGCTGCTAAAATTTTGGACATGTTATGAGAGGGTCAAAATATTGCAAAACACTAATATTAGAGACTAACAGCCGATAGTATTGAAATGCTCAAAAAAGAAAAAAGAATAAAAAAAGATTTTTTTAATTTAAAAAAAAGAATTAAAAAAAGAACAAGATTCTGCCTTCAGAATTTATGAGAGCTTCATCACTGGAAGCTTTCAAGAAGAGACTGGACTGCCATCTGTCAGAAATGGTATAGGGTCTCCTGCTTGGACAGGGGTTGGACTAGATGACCTACAAGGTCCCTTCCAACTCTGTTATTATTTTATTCTGCTCTACAATTCAGTATTGTCTTATAGACAAGGCACCAGCATAAACATAATATTCCAATAATGGCCTGGCACATGGTCTACATACAAAACTTGCCAAGGAAACACAGTCAATAAATGAGAAAGGAATAAGACTTTATTATACCCAAGGTCAAGAAGATTGATTGAATTATCTAAGGATATATTTGAAAGGCCTCTACTCCAAAAAAAAAAAACAGGACCAATGAACATTGAATTCTGCTTCTTGAGCAACTTTGGAAATTTTAATCCAAGTGGCAGTGGGTTGGCAACCGGACAAGGCTGATTCTCAACTAGATTTGTTTGGTCATTTCCCTGCTTCTGATTTTTCCCATTTGCAGGCAAAACAACTCTACTGGTTGGCTGCTGTGTGGAATGGCCTCTCTTTTTTATTTAGGAATGGTTTCCTCCTTGTTTTCTCCATGATATTTCTTAGCTTTCCCACACATTTCAACATACAGTATATGTCCCTTCAAATTCCCTTCTCACATATTCTCCTTTGACACTGAACCTCGTCTTCCCTTTTCTCCTTACTGTAGCATTACTAGGCTGCTACCTAGAATCAATTCAACAATGGAACAAGCTGTTCTTTTAGTTCTAACCTTCCTCTCTTGGTCCATGGAAACTTTATAAAAAAAACTTTATAAAAAAGAACTGGTAGTTCAACTTTATAGGGAGAAATTAACAACCCCCCTATATGAAAGAAAGAGAAGACTTGGATTATTATAAAGTGTGGAATAGGTTTTATACATGGTTATAATGGTTGGAAAACAGAAGTGGAGAGGGAAGTTGTATAATAAAATTTTCACAAAATTCTTCAGATTCAAATGGAAGAATATCAGATTTATTCCAGTAACTGAATAATCTAATTTGGATCTTAACATGATTTAAGGAAGTTTATAGGAAAAAAGATTTTGCTTTCCTTCTTGCAAATACTGTACCTCAGATACCAAAGCTACCTCTAAAGTCATTCCACTAGAAGGCCTTTCTAAGGAACATAACACAGGGTATAGGGAAGATTAGATAAAACATTTTCTAGAATCAACTTGAGTTAACTTAGGATGGTTGGGTTGTATGTTGCACTAGTCTATCATTTATTTAAATATAATGTTGATGAAATTAATCAGAACTGGTTGAGTTTTCTATAATATGCAATACCACAAGCCACGTCTCACAAATCACAATAGTTGGGACATGCAACAAGCTAAGTTAAAATCAACTAAACCACATTATAGTTTACTGTGTTGAATAAGCCATCCCATTAGCTAAATTTATAGATTATGCTAGACTTTGGGTGCATGGACCTCTTGGTTCTGGAACTTTTAACATATTTAGTTCTGGATGGAGTTGCACTATCCTAAATGGACCTGGTACGTAATCTGGATGTTCTCTTGGACTCACAACTCCTGCTCAGTAAGCGTGGCAGTTGTGGCTAGGAATGCCATCTTGCGCACCAGTTATGTCCATTCCTGGATCAACAGTTCCTGCACTCAGATACTCAAGCCCTTGTCATCTCACTAGTGCAACCTATTCTTGAAGAGTATCCAGAAGTTTCAGCTGGTGCAGAACTGCATGGGAAGTTCTTGGGGCCTCTAGAATGGCCATTGTTACACTGCTGTTCCGAGCTCTGCACTGGTTTCATTTGCTTCCAGGTCCAATTCAAGCTGTTGGTTATCATCTTTAAGGCCTTATGGGTCCAGGATATGAGAGAAACGAACTCATCCTCATAGGATTAGCCTTCCACCCATGCCAGCAGAAGAGGCATGGTGCAGACCCTGTCAGTCAAGGAATTTTGGCTGCTGAAGGCTAGAAGAGCCTTTTCTGCCATGGTACCAAACCCCTGGAACATCCTCCCCCACTCCAAGGTGAGATCCACATACACTTCTGGCCTTCCAACAGGGCTTGAAGGCCTGGCTCCATCTGCAAGCCTAATAAGGGAGTAGAATCTTGGTTAATGGATTAGACAAACCCCACTCCCCTTTACTCCCTTTCTCTCATCTTGGTTAATTAAATTTTAACTGAATTTTAAATGTATGGTTTTTATTTCTTGTTTTAAGGTTTTATGTCATATTTTAAATATACGATTGAAAGCCACCCAGAATCCCGTGTGCTGTGGGCGGATTAGTAATAAATAAATAAACAAATAATAAAACTACCAAACATACTATTTTACCACACCTGAGAAAATTTAATCATTTATTAATTGAAAGCATAACTTCAATAATATAAAGCTAATTTGTATATAGTATTATAAAAGGTAGTTTAGCAGCATTAGACAAACTCTACAAATTTAGCAATCTGTCTGTGCTGCTGAAGTCTATTCAAGTGGGAATATAAATATTTTAAATAGCATAACTTTTAGGAACATACCTTTTGTTTTAGCATTAAAATTAATTTGCAGACGTACTGTATATACTGTAGAGAATTATTATTTTTTTCTACATATACTTACACAAGGAATGGGCAGTATTGGTTGTTCTTGTGAATGAACTTGGATGGAGATATTATGCCCCTCATCCTTTTAGATCTTTCAGTGGCCTTTGAAATGATGTGACTGGTATTCTTTTGAACTGGGTTTGACAATTAAGGACACTGTTTTGTGGGTTATTCCAAGCAATGAAGGCACAAATGAGAGATCAGCAAGGCAGTGATTCCATTAAGCTATGCCACAGAATTTGGTACATTTCTGCTGCTCTTTAACCTATTCTTGAAACTGCTGGGAAAGATCATCTGTTGGTTGCTGATGATACCCAGTTGCACACTTCCAGCTTCAATCAGATGGAAGATGCTGTCAATATCTAATGTCAGTGTCTGGAGCTGTCAGGATCTGGAAACAAATTGAGGTTGAATCCCTACAAGACAGAGTTTCTGTTTGTTTACTGGGGTTGTTTTAAGTGATCTGGTTTCATCTTTGATGGGGCAGCATCATGGACATCCTGGACTCATAGCTATTTCTGAGATGGAATGATGGATGCCTTTGCCAAATTCTAGGTCAGTGATGGTGAACCTTTTTGGCACCAAGTGCCCAAACCAGAACGTGCACACCAGAGCCCCAGAAACCTGAAGACCAGCTAGCTGGTGTGCATGCGTGCGTCATAAACCAGAAGAGCAGCTGGCAATGGTGCAATAGGGCTCTCCGTACCACCTCTGGCACACGTGCCATAGGTTTGCCATCATGGCTCTAGTTGGTCACCAGTTATCATCCTAATAGAACGAGAGGTTCTTGCAACAGTAACTCATGCCCCAATCATACTTACTTGGACCACTTAGAACAGGGATTTTTTTTTTTTTTGCCATCATAATTCCATTTAGGGTAATTCTAATGTACATACCTCCACTAAAAATCCAAACATTAAAACAAACACATCACTTAGAACTGTATTTTGGGAAGATGGATTTATTGTAACAATGCACAACTAAAAGGCTCTTCACACAGCCCCTGGACTCTGCGTCTCTACAAGAAAAGTACATTTTACAGTTTGGGAAATTCTGACTTTGAAGTTTCAGATAATCAAGAACACAAAAGCCCGGACAATCTGGAGTTTGTCAACATGGGCAAATGGCATCTGTGCTCTGGCCTGTGCATTGGCTTCCTATTAGCTTCCGGGTTCAATTTAAAATGCTTTTAACCTTTAGGGCCCCACATAGTTTGACACCAAGGTACTTGAAGGTCCTCAATTAGGTAAAATTGACTCATCTCACCATATCCCAGGAGAAACCTGCTTTTGAGTCCCTGTCTCTACAAGATTAGGAGTTCAGTGATAGATTGTTATTAAGTAATGGAAATCTTGCAATGAGTGGGATGAAATAACTTCTGTTTATTATTATTCTTTCTTTCTATATACAGTAACTGATTTAGATCCCACTAGTCTTACACTATGTCCTATTCATGAATTATGTATTTGTATTATTATATAAAAATGTGTGAAAACTACTTATATGTATTGGATATGTTGTGTCTTGAATAACTTCTAAAATAATAAAGGTGAAATACAAATAAATAAATAAATATGCATTTGATATTACAGTATTCCCTATGTACTGGCACATTTGTTTAGATTAATGCACATTTAATTAGGATAACAATGACTCATGCAGACTTGAACGGTTTTTGAGGTACAGTTCTGGTAGAGTTCTAAACTATTAGAAAATAATTTTCCCTGAATGAAGTGAAACTTCAAGTATGAGTAGTCATGCATCAAATACAATATCCTTGATTCACAATCTAGTTAATCTTTCTTTTTTTAATTTTAATTTTATTATACCATTCTGCCCATATAGTATGTCTCATAAGCCTTCTTGGACTCTAGATGAAAGGAAACAGTGGGAATGACTCAATCAGTTTTAGCAAAAATGCCTTTTGCTTCTTCCAGCACATAGGGGCAATATAGAGCCTCTCTAGGAAGCAACATACTTTCCTGTCCTTTGGCTTTAGAACTGCTGCAGTCTCTCCCTCCCTCCTTCTCTCTCTCCACTCTCTGCAGCATTGTGAGATTTAACACTCCTACAAAAAGGAAAAGGCACCGTTCAGGAAATCTGGGAAAGCTGGTAAGGAATTTTTATCAGTTTCTAAAATGAGAATGGAAAAAAAAAGGAGGATTACTTCGACAGGAATCATTATTTGCTGTATGCTTTTATATAAAGGTTGCAGACTTGGATAATTACCTGATGGTAAGAGACACCTCCCCTTTCCCTGCCCTCAAGAGTGCTTTTGTACAGTTAATTAATGCAAACTTTCAGGCAAGAAGGAAGTAATTATAACTGTGTATTCCCTTTTAATGATAGAGAAGTATGCAACCTCTTCCTTTCCAGGGAAATTCAATCACGGCAAATAACAGATGACTTACTGCCATAATGAAATTGGCAAAATCCCCACATTCTAAAACAGTAACACTAGTTCTGAATGTAAAAGCATATGAAGATGATAAATTAATGTGACAAGAGTTGAGGGAATGAGACTGCAACTGTAGAGATATTTTTCTAAAGGTTCACCTTAGTCATCAGGGAAAAAAACTTAGAATTATAAAAAAATATTTACATATTAGAGAAGGAAAATACATGTATAAGTAGACTGTACTTGAACGTGATGTGGGTGTGCCTGACTAGGTGAGTGGCAGCTGGAAAGAAATGGAAAGCATCTTAAGTGTATATGTACATGATGAAAAACCTGGGAAATAGAAACTGTGTTTCTTTAAAAAATAAGAGAAAAAAACTTACGATATATTGAGAAATGTGAAACTTTAAACACAAATTTACAATTATGTCACAAAACTATATTTACTTGTAAGTAATTCCCAATCAGGTTAAGCATAATTTACTATTAATGTTGTATATACTGGTTGCCAAAGTTGTATTGAAATAAGTGGAAATTACTGCTAAATAACATTATAATTAGGTTCTACAGCATAGATGTAGTTTTTAAAGGTTGCAGTTCTTTGCCCTGAATGCATAGGAGTAACCTTTATCACAGTAGGATTTACTTCTGAGTAAACACCTTTGGCGTGGCTTGAATAGATGAAGCAGGTGATTGCTGATATGAGGACTGGCTAATATGAAGGGAGCTTGATTTTTAAAGTAGGGACAAAAGTTAATATGAACTCAAACTGATTGATTTTTCAAGCCACATACTGAAGTTGTTCTTTTGAAGCCTATTTGTTTAAATTATTTAACGGATATTGAGATGGGTAGGATTATGTATAGTACTTCATAGAAAAATGATTTTAATCCACATTTGGATAGTTTACTATCAAAGGAACGCAAGTTATTGAACTAAATGGCACTGAGGCATGACTGCGGAAAGAAAAAGGGAATCGAACAGATGCGGAGAGCTGCGTTGTGAATATTAAAGAGTTCTTAAGATACTTACCGGGAGTAAACAGAAAAATCCCCATTTTATGGGTTCCTTTGCTTTGGAACGGGATTGTTTGCAGGCACGGTGCTCGCCTGCTAGACTGGGGCAAGATGCAGGCTGGCAAATTTCGGAGTGCACGTTAGGCAGTGCAATGCCAAAAAAGAAAAAGACCCATGTATGTGTGAACCCGCCATTACTCTAGCCATTTTGTTATAGTCGTTATCGGAGCGGCGGAGCGAGAACATGGACCACGAGGGCCACGTGAGCTTGAACGATCGAAGGTATAACGGCTGTTTTTTTTTAACGCGCGTTCCACCTCTGGAGGGTTAACGTTCGGCGCAGAGATGCCCGACCTGCGACAACCACCCCGCCTTAAAGATGTGCGAACATATTTTCCCCGCCCCTGGTCGATGTAGCTGAAGCCCAGAGAGTATCTGGCGAAAGAGGGCGTGGAACTGGGCTCCACATCCTGGCGAAATGAGCGAATGAGGGACGCGGCGGGGAAAAGCAAGACGTTCTGCTGGCCGGCGCGCCCCAAGAGGACCACCCTCCGGTTCGCTGGTCTCGGAGTCTCCGCCTTCAGGCGTCGTCCGTGGCTGCGGGGAGATAAGAAGCCGCTTGGGGCCAGTTCCCTCCTCCGGCTGCGGAGCGGGAGAATGTATTGAAGCCCCAAACCTTTAATCTCTGTGGAGGGCCGCCTCCCTCCTCAGTTCGCCCCGCCTCGCCCCGCCCGCCGTCCCCTTGGAGAATAGAGCCGAGTTTGCAACGAGGACCCCAGGCCAGGAACCGGTGTGGGCGGAAGGGGCGCTGCCATTCAGTCCGGACCGCGAGCCCCTTCCTGCCAGCCATTGAGCGGGCCACTCCGCCCCCTCGTGGCTTTGACCAGGCCCGGCCCTCCCCTCTCTCCCTCCCTCCGTAGGAGGTGTTCCTCCCCGGCGAACCAGCCAGAGCGGCAAAGGCAGCAAGAGGGAAACACGAAGCAGCCTCTGCACCCCTTTCGGCCGAGGGAAGAGATAGGTGAGGCCTTCGGAGCAGGGGAGGGCGGCGGGGAGAGGCTGGGTTTGGGTTGGGTTCTGCTGCCGTGGTTCTCGCCAGTAACCCCGACTGAGTGTTTGAACGTGACGGTACTGTTGCTGCTTGTTTTTATTTTTGCACTGCGTTTTGTTTGTGGTTTTTGGAGGGAAAGGTATCTTAAAGGGTGGGACAGATTCTCGGAAGGCATCGGAAGGGCTTTGAACAAAAAAATAAGAGACAAGGAAGGATAACAGATAATGCAAAAGGCAGAGAGAGTCGGGAATGTGGGTATACGAAAACGAATGCTGGAGTTTCCATGGCAAAGAGTAGGAGCTGCTGGGAGGCTTATTTGCAAAGAGAAGGAGCCGAATATACGCGGGACTGGCTGAATATTCCTTCCTGAGATAAATTCGTGTTTTTAAAGGATGGGAGACGAAGGGGCCAGTTCATAAACCATTGGCAGAGTTAGAGCCAGTTGCTTAACTAACTATGAAGTCAGCTTCGCTTAGGTTTTGCTACGAAGTTTGTCACAGTTTTTAAGATGGTGTGACTAGTAGAGACTCTTCTGATTTATGATCATTCTTAATACTGTTTTGCAGAGCTTGGGAGAGTTCAATTTTAGGTCGTTTCTATTCAGTAATTATGTGAAAGACTATGCAGGGCTTTTAAGACTGGGGTTGCTATTTAGATTTGGGGATATTGCTACTGCTGCCTTGATCACTGTAATTTAGGCTTTATATGCTAATTACACTTGGAGTCACCTTCATAAAGTCTTTATTTTGTAACTGGGCTACAATGTTTCATTTAGTTGCTGCCAATGTAGCCAAAATAAATTAGTGTTGTGTCTTATAAATAAGTAGCATTGGATTATTCACTGTGGTCCATATGTCTTAAAGAACCCAGTGCCTTTATATTTACCTGTGAGGTGGATTTTTTTGCTTCCTTTCCTGTTGATATTCTTTTGTCCTGCTGCAGGAAACTGGAATACAGTGGTAATTGATGCTTTACTTCTTATTTGTACATAATGCACTGTTTACGTCCTTTTAGGTTCTGTCCTGCACTTTTGTTTCTGAAATGTACTGTTAAATAATGGAAGAGAGGATGCTAGATAATGTTCATACTTCATTTCTATGGAATATATAATTGGCCAACATACCTCTGCACATATATGGCTGAGGTGCTGAAGTCCTTTTTAGAAAAGCAAAGATAGATGCACTAATTGCCAAGTGAAAGCTAGCACATTTTTGTACCAATCATTTGTAGTGTTGTCCCCATCCTCTTTCCTTGAAAGTAGGCCCCGTTATATCTAATGGAGCATTCACATAAACATAGCATTCTGTACAACAGATCTATCAGTGCAACTTCATAGATTTTATGGTATGTATGATTACAAATTGTATTTGCACATCTACATTTTTTGTAGGTAATATAAGTTAAATGTTCTGTATTGGAACACAATAGTGTGAAAATGCTATATAAATATTTTCTCAGATTATTTTTTCTAGATCTCAGTGTTTGAATAATATACATTTCCCATTTAACATGTTGTACAGTACTGTACATTTGCTAACATATTACATTGGGTGAAATTTCATAAGAGACTGCCTTTTGTGACTTTTTCAAAAATATTCATCTTTTTATATATGCCAGAGCTTGTAAGGATTGTATTTAATGAAGTGTTTGTTTTTTGCAACAAAAGTGTTTTTTGCCTGATTTTCATTTATTTCCTTCTTGCCCCCTAAAATGGTATTTCTCAGTATTGGGGAAATAAGAGATAAGATAAAATAGATAAAATAATCTTTGTTTTTTTATTGTAAGCACACTGGCACACATTAAAAATGAAATTCTGTGGCCTGCTCTCAAAAGAAAGTTCTGGAATACAGTGTAATATTTCATATAGAGTTGAAAATAAATATAGGGACTTAATTTACATGATAAAAGAGCATTTTATTCTGCAAAACTAACACCAAATAAAGCTGATTTCTATGTTTTGTTGAAGATCGTAATTAAAAATCACTGTTTCAAAGTGATTTCAAAGAACCAAAACTCCTTAGTTTCTTTTCTGTATGTTATTTAATAGAGTTATCCAAGTTAAAGCTAAAGCCTTATGTAATACTTTTCATATACTTCATCTTGTGAAGTATTTGAAATATTACTTTTCTGCAATCTTAGGCAAAACCAAAAAGTTTAATCATTAAATTGATAATGATAAAGTATCAAATGGCCATATCATATTTCAAAGTTATAAAAACATTGTCAAGTAATGTAGCTTAGTTTACCAAATTAACATGAAAATATACAGAATGTTCATCCTGTACTTGGCTAATGCTTGTTTTAGGCCTCTATGGTTGTTTTAGGTCATAAGTTATTAAAGCCTGCAGTAGACTGATGTGCTGTACTTACAATATATATCTTAACTGTGCTTTATTCTGATAAACAATTTTCTGTTTGCAAATGCTGTCTTTTGGACCATGATATACATTATTGCTATTGTCTTTTAACAAGCAAGATATATTTAAACAGTAATTCAGAAATTACAATTGTCTTAGGCTAGGTCAAATATGTCTGTAGGTTGAAAGAAAGATTCTCTCTCTCTCTCTCTCCCTGCCCCCCTCCCTCTGGCTGTGGAAAATAAAGTTTTCTCCAGAAAAAGTGTTGTATGAACTACATTTTTTTGTTTTCTCTATTGTAGAGAAATGAATTAAGTATAAGACACATGGTTTTACAGCCTGAACTTTGCTTTTAAAAAATCAAACTTTTTCAGAAGCTAAGGCCTATAAATCACATTCTTTTATTGTCTTTATGTTCTACATTTTGATAACATTCTTTTAATTAAAAAAAATAAACACTACCTAGCTGAAAACATTTATTTAAATAAAAATTTAGGATGTTAAATATGATATGTTTAGCTTATATTTAATTCCATTGCATGCCCTACTTTTTGGATTCCTTCATAACAGTGTCTTCCCTATGTTTTAGCGGTTGGAAATATTAATAGAAATCTCCATCACATAAGGATAGTTTTGGGAATCCTTGGAATAAAAGTGAGAGTATCCTAAAAATACTCTATGTGTACTGGGTTACAATACATTTATTATCATGGTATGAAGAACTTGTTTCTAAAGAAAACATTCATATCTATCGTGCATTTGGGTTTTCCATCATGACATGGAATCTTGCCAGCAATAGCACATCTTCAAATAAGTATTTTTTACAGCTTAAACTGCTGTTTTAAACTGCTTTTAAAAAGAATCTGTGATTGTCATAGTTTCAAGCTGCCAATTTTTGTACTGTGGTGAATCCAGATTCTTTTATTTACGTTGCAGATGCAATCCTGCAGATGTTCAAACCCCATGACATTGGCTGCTGGCCAAAATATGGCATTCATCTTTTCTCTGCAGGTGTCCACTATTGTTTGATGGAAACTGGGAAGGAATGGCAAAGGATGAATCGTTCTGTGATTGTTCTGTTCCTGACAGGTTTCTCACTAGTATTTGTTACTTCACTAGCATAAGAAAAAAATAACAGTTAAGCAGCTGAGCAGGCATAAGTGGCAGGTTCTGTAATGTATATCTTTGAACTTTCGAAGATAGCTAAAGTTATATTTCATGGATTATGTATTTTTCATTATGCTGAGAATCTTATTTGTAATGTAATGTTTTTCAGCTTTACGGGTTGGGTAGTCTTTAGAAAATGCTATATTTTCAAATATAAAATGTAAAACTGAAACATCTTTAGACTTAAAGGTATACTACATGTTAGCATGGTACCAAATTCAAATGTCAAGGTCTTGATTTTTTTTATATATAGGCAAAACTGTGTCAGTTTTACTTGTTATTGTTGTTTGCAAGTGGATAGTCCCCTTAGCTTCTACTATGCTGCTGCACATGACTTCTTACAATTTGTATAAAAAATGTGTAATGGAGAAGTAATACATTGGCATACACCTTCTCACTGTATCTTGCCCTGCCATAGGCCAAACCATATTCCATACTCTCCCATCTTTTCCTAAGCATATCTCATAACACCAATGAACAGTTAATCAAACCAACAAAAAAAGCAGTGGTTCTTCTGGTAGAGTGCATGTTTTTTCCAGAGTTCATTCGTAAAGACAAATAAGACAAAAGAATTACATTGTACTAATATAACATGAAGTTTATCAGGGCCTAGATTACTTCAGTCAGGCTATATTTATCCAAGAAAGATGGAAAATGATGAACAATACTTCAAACTCAGCAGGTCATGATGTGCACTTTTTTTAATCTAAAAGGAGAAA